TCAAAACAAACAAATCTTTGTAAAAGTTAGTGTGTAACGATTTATAGAAAAATTAGCTGCAACGCCATTTTGGTCACATTCTAAACGTTTTAATCTTGTTGAAAGCTTTAAACTATCGGATACTGTGCTTTGACTTTAGTAAATAGAACATGTAAATATTCTAGGTAACAAATTGGTAATGATTATAAATTCTTATATTGGAGTTTGTTTGTTTTTCCTGGGCACCTTTTTACATATCTTTGATTTAGTAATCCATATAAAATACCTACGAGTAATTCCACTGGTTTTTAGTAAGTACTTTCGCAGTTGAATTTCTCTAGTATTAATTTCGTAATAATAAGACCGTTTCATATACGTGATTAACGACTAGATTTGTGTCTTGTTGATATATAGAGTATCCACTTTTATTAGACAAGGTTCAATTTTATGCTCATTTTCCTTTATAAAAATTGCTCCTCAACTCTACGCAATTTCACAGCAGACCTGGTTCCATCAGAAATTTTGGAATGACTGCTTTAAAGGAAAACTAAAAACAATTTTTTGTTGGCATTTTTTGAAGTAAAATATTTTGTTTGGTAAGAATTCTTTTTACTTAAAACAAAAAATATAGATATTTCACTGAAGTATGTTTTATTCCCATGTTGCAGAGCCGGTCGTGGCCTACTACTTAGCTGTGTATGAAAAGGTCCAAGGCTCGAGCCGCGATATGCCGTTTAACACACCCTGCATTTTCAGTTGTGAGAGCGTTATAATTGTGACAGCCAATCCCACTATTCAGTTATGAGTAGTCGCATAAGGAGATGGGGGTGTTGACTGGTTTCACATCCTGATCAGTATTTTCAAGTTAGACATGAGTCACAGTTCATTTGAATTAGATATGACTATGTCATTGCAGTCTACGATGGGGTTACCTAAGCTGGGCATTTAGTCCATGTGTCACAAAATGTGCCGCTTAGCAAATAAGTTTCATTTTGCAGCAGGATACAGAAATGCATATGCATGATTTGAGTTGTGCCAGGAAATCACAATTTACCATTCAGGATGAAAAGAAGAAATCACATGAGAACGCGAGTAACAAAATCAAAATATTGAGCCCAAAGGGTGATTAATTAGTAGCTATTGCCTTAAACATAGCGTGAAAAGGTATTTAACCAGAAGTTGATCATTCTGGCCCGCTTGCATGAAACCTTAAACCAAAATCCCATAAAATAACAATAATAAAATACCATCGGCCTGAACTTTCAAACAGGCATCACCCAAAATTCAATTCATCAAAAATACACACATCACAAATACTATAATAAAATATCACTAATTTCAAGTAACATTAAAATTATCATCGCCAATTACCAAATAGAACCCTGACGTTCTGAAACTACTCGCTAGCTTTTGACGCCCACATGACTTTAGAACACATCGAACATTGCAAATCATATAGCATTATGTAATACTGATATCGTCTAGTCGCAGTATGACTGAAAGCTTGGCTTATTTTACCAATAATTTTACTTTTTCGTTTTGTTTGTGTGTAACTTACTTTTCTAACTTGAACCTCCTAATGTAACACTTTTGTTTGTATTAACACTACGAGTCTTCGCCAGTTGAAGTATACTTTAAGGCTGTGTTAATTTGTTTCTATCAATAAAAAAATGTAATAGTTTATAAGTACAGTAATGCTACTAGCAGTTTTCTGAAGTATTTTTGTTTGTACATTGCGAAGTTATAGGTAAAAAAATTATGTATTTTGAACGCAGGAAAATTCACCTCCATTTTTTTATATAAGTAACCAAATATTAAAATTGTTCCATCAGTTTTATGTTTGTACATTATCTATATGGTGACAGCTTACAAACAGTGCAAGTAAAGCCGCAAAGAAAGTTTATTTTTGTGTTTCACATTATTAATTTAAATAGCGCTTTCCTAATGAAATTTTATATTCACGCTTAAAATTTTTAGAAAAACAACTATTTTACATCAGATATGGCCCGGTTGTTTTGGGTTGACAAGTAGACAAAGAATGGGACTGTTTGAGAGGGTTGATCAACTGTTTTATTGTTATAACATAAGTGGTTGAAATTTATTGCAGCTGCACATGTTATAACGTTCTTGAGTTACACCTTAAGTACTTGTATGAATGAGACTTTCAAACGAATCGGCATCTTCAAAACAAGTGAAACATTACTAATTTCTCTGTTATTTGAAGTCGGGCTTCTGACGGAAGGTGGCGTACCAGGAGGCAAATGTGACGCCATTTTTCGTGCTAGTTTATTCAAGAAGAACGAAGAACACTTAGCATTGAGTGGGAATGTTTTAAAGTACCGTGTTGTCCAATGTCGGCAAATAACTAAACAAAGAAAAGTAGAGTTGAGCTAGAAAAGAACAACAAATGGACATTCAGTGGGTTTTAATTTAATCTGAAAGTCGTTTTTACAGATATTTCATACATTAAAAAAAAAATACTTCTACATTATGTTCGCTTTTATTATCTGCCTGAGGTATTGGTTATCAAATATATTAGTCTGTGTTACGCGCTCACATAGATAAAATATATACAGGGAATTTAATTTCCTGTCTGTAAGGTAGATACGGCACAAAGATCTAGTCAGAATTTTAATTTTTTTTTGTTTGTTTTTTAACCCACGTATTTCGTTTGAAGAGGAAGAAGATAGGTCTATATATTTTACTGGGATCGTTAGGAATTTGTTTCTTGAAACGATTTTGAGGCACTGTGGGGTTATGAATAAATCTTAAATATTAGTATTTCATCGAATAAAATGGGGAGTATCGTAATAAAGACCATTAAAGCTATGTCTGTAATAGTGAAGCATGGTTCAAACGTAGTAAACAGATTGGATCAACATGCGTCTCACACCACTTATTTTGTCCGTTAGTTAAGTCTAATCACTTTTTTTTTTAACTGAAACCTGAAATAAGTCTAGTAATCAAAGAATAGCATATTTCCAGAACAGTCTTGCTGATAGCTATATAGTTATTAGCGTAACTTTTCTAGGATCATAAAATGTCATCTACGACTGATTTATAATCTGTATATCACTCGTATTTTGCTCTAAAGTTAAGCCCTTAATCGTTCTGAACAGTATGTTCTCTACATAAAAGGTTTTTGTTAGATTACAGTTTCAAACATTATTAATGGCAATAAAAAGTAGTTTAAATATTTGTCAGAGATAGCTTAATATACGTTTTCCCCCATACAAGTCATTGGCAGTCTTATATTTTACATATTTGAATGCTTTTTGATGGAAGGTTAAGATGAGTATTCATTACATAATTCCAAAAATTATCAATGGCTGATGGGTTTAATCTAATACAGGGTTTTTCAGCCGCCTTTGTCAGACGACCCCCGCGTCCGGGCTTTGGTCGTCGCGACCCCTCATTATCTCCACAAGGATGAAAAAATCCTTGATGTTTCTTGGTGCAGTTCGTCATAGTTCGTAACAAAGGTGATATGTGCACCTCAAGGATAAAAAAATGTTGACTTAGCGCAGACAGCTCCTGCTCACCGTTTGAGAAACACTGTTCTAATATGTTATTCTTTTTGTCTGCTCCTTTATAAAATACTGTAAATAAAGTGGGTGATGAGTAAAATAACCTAACGTATTTTAATTTTTTACTCTTACCATAGATATTGTAATTTTAAATCGAAATGTCAACCCTTCACTTGAAGGAGCGTTATGTTACTTTTTTACCCCATACTTATATCAAGCAAACACAAAAACAAAATTTATGTTTTTACCTTTTTTCTCTTTCTCTCTACACAACAGTAAAATTGTTAACAAAATGACCTGAATGCAGGGGGTGTAATAAGCTAGAAGTAAAGTAGAATATAATTCACAACACCTTCTGACAAGATGAAAAATACCCTACAAATACTTTTGTTTTTGATTACCGACTCTTTCTCCAGGTAGTGGAAGCTAGTGAATATACTCTCCCGAAGTGGTTGATGTTTGACCAGAACAGCCGTACTTTTCTTGGAGTTCCAACATCTAATGACCAGGGGCAGTATTACATCAGCGTGAAAGCTGTTGGACCACCCGATTTAAATGGTAAGGTGTTTTGAAGCCAGTTTTAAAGGAGCTTTTGTTCTCAAAAAATACTTATGTTATTCCATTATTTTTCCGTTAATAAGAAAATGTTTGTCAACAGTGTATAATAAGTAAACAGATGATGGAAAGAGGCTTAAACAATCTACCAGAATCAACTGCTGCTTTCGATTGGTACGTTTATTGTGTTTGATGTGAAATTTGTGTTACTTAACATAACTTTCCAGTAAGATACATTTATAACTTTGACATTAGAAAACCTGGGTTAACTGAATAGCAAACTTCCCTCTTGCGGACTTTTTATTTTTCTTTAATTAAGTATATTCATAGTTTTGTCTTAAGTATCCTGTTAAGTAAAGAGGATACTTAAACTACTACTTGGCAGTATGTTCAGTTTATAAGCATATATTATTTTCATTTTTCATGACTACCAGTTTTATTTCTGGTCGCTAGATGGCAGCATAATTTTCTTATATAACGACCATTTGTGACTTTTCATTCAAACATGTTTACCAGTGGGGCTGAGCCTGGCAGTTATGTGTGTATGCATGGTATCATATTTCATGGCCTGGGGTCTGTATGACATCCTTTCTATTAATCGAAATAACCCTAGCATTTGATGGAGTCAATTGTATGCACATGCAATGCATGGGGGGTGAAATTGGAAGGTGTGGGTTCTGTAGATATTCCCATAACATTGGTCTAGTGCTGCAGGGTACTTGTACCATCTTGGAGGAACCACTGGGGACCAGATGTAATCCAAAATTAGAGACACTGACAAAACTGATATGATATTAACAATATGTATTACCCCTGAATTATATAAATAAAACAAATGTTCACTTATCAACCTACTTCAATGAAATTGGTTAAAAAAAGAGGGGGAAAATGAAGTGTAATATATGGATGACAATGCCAAAATGTACAGAAATAAGGTAGGGATGCATACAGAAATTTTAGTATTGAAAGTCATGTAGGGATGATCTACATATAGCAGTGTCATCCCTATATTCTTGTTTGTATTCGTTTTGGCACTGCCATCCCTACATCATTTACTTTTACAAATGTATTTTTATTACTTAATACAGGTGTTTATTTATGGTTTGCATTTTTATTTCTTTCATTAACATGTCATCTGTGGAACAAAGAGGGCCCTTGGCCTATTGTATCTGTCTCATTCATTTCATTAAATACCAACCTGCCCATATCCAACCCTGACTCTCAAGGTACTCAAGCCCTGTCTTGAGCTTTCCGAGTCCTGTTGCATGTACTTCATCTGAAGGCAATCTATTCCAAATGTTGACCTCCTTATTTGAAAAATAAAATTACTTAATCTACAAACAACTTTTATCTTGACAAATATTAAATTTTTCTCCTAGTCCAACCACTCTTAACATTAAACATAAAGATAATGCATCTATCATATCTTTTCCTTTATAATTATGAACACTTCAATTAGATACCCTATAAATCTATTCTCAGGAAAAAATCATTTTAAGGATCTTAACTTGTTCTCATATGACAATTTTTCATCCCAGGAATCATCAGAGTAGTCCTCCTTTGAACCATATCGAATGACTCAATGTCTTTCTTAAAGTAATGAACTCGTGACTGAGCACAATACGTTAAACAAGGCCTAATAAGAGATAAGTACAAAGAAATGATTACTTCCTTTAACTTTATTAAATATTCCCATAGATACAAACTAAAATCTTTCTTGCTTTCCCACTCGCAGTAACACACTGCTTGAAAGGCTTAAGAGACTGATTGACCAAAACACCAACATCCTCTTCTTCCATAACACTATTGAATTGATTTACATCAAGGTGGTAATTATAATTTAAATTAAGGTATCCCACATGCATCACTTTGTACTTAGTGTAATTGCCATCTGCATCATCTTTACAGCCAGCTACATCCAAAACTTTAAAATCTTCAGCAAACTTGACCAGTTTATTTTGCATTCCCTTATCAATATCATTAATGTATGTCAAAACGAGTGTCTCAGCACAGAGCTGACAATTACAATTCCAGTTTAGTTTGACTAAACTCTCTTTATTACAACACTTTGATTTCTCTCCTATAACCAACCCATAACATGTTGAGCTAACTTATCCAACCACACTCAGAGATTCCTTTTCACTAGTCTCTTATATAGTACTTTGTCAAAAGCCTTCTAAAAATCCAGTTATACCAAATCAAGATCTTTACCATCATCACCATAAGCAGTGATGCCTTTGGAGAAGGTCAAAACATTGGTGAGACATGATTCTCCTGGTGTGAAACCTTAATTACTATCCAACAAAATTATAAATTTTGTTAAGTGGTTTTGCAAGGTGTCTTTATTCAGTTTTTCCAAACCTTTCACCACCAGTGAAATATGACTAATTGGCCTATAATTATTTAGACAGTGCTTGTCACCTCCCCTAAATATCGGCATAACATTAGCCAGCTACCAGTCTTTTGATGCTTGTCCACTACTCAAACATTCAGAAAAAAATTTAAGGGGCTTACTTATGCAATCATTAACACTTATAAACAAATATTATCTGGCCTAAGAACCTTAGCATTTTTTAAACATCCCAGTTTTTCTTTAACAATTTAATGGCGAATATTAGGTTTATTTACAGCTATCATATTTCCCACTAGTAATTTTGCTAGATCATGAATAATATTCAAATCTTATTCATTGAAAACTGAAGAAAATGAAAAATTTAGCAACTCAACCATCCCATAATATTTTATAATAACCTTTCCTTCAACATAAGCCAAGGACTCTCAAAGGCCCAATTTCAATTTTAACATTGTTTACATTTAATATATTTTAAGAAATTGCTACTGTTGATTTTAATATTTTATCTAACCTTTTTTTCCCTCTGTGGGGCATACTCATCTTGAATATTTAACAATGCTAGCTACTTAACACTTGAAACCTAGAGTGATAAATACATGTAATTCACTAACTACTCTACCCTTGCCATCCTGACTACTAAATTAAAGATTAGAAGAGTGACTGAAGATAGTTGTAACTTTTAAATTTTAAAAGTAATTTCAGTTACGATTTCTTTTGCTTAATTATTTTGACTAAGTTTTTGAAACGGGGAAAAAAATAAACTTATTGGAATTGAAACTGTTACATGATATAATAAATCCGTGAAATATAACTCTCAGTATTTGTAAAAAAACAGCTTTATTTTTCACTGAGTTTTCATTTCATGTTTTTCCAGTTTTAGAAGTTTTTAAATAACTTTTATCCCAGTGTTTAGTAAACTGGGAAGCAGAAAAGGTTTAATATTTTAAATTTCTTAAGCTATTTATATATTTTGAAATGTTTAAATTCCAGGAAAAGGTATGACTTTTTGACACACAACATTTCTAGTGTCATATGAATTCAACAGAGTTATAAAAGCATCATCAGAGGCTGCTTGTGTAAACTTTACTGGAAGATTCTAGAAATGGA